ATGTATGGCATTAATTGTCATCATTAATTGATGTAAACGGTACAAGTATTTCGCATTTAAAACTCGGTTCTTGGTAAAGCTAAAGGTCGGAGGATCAGGAAGCCAGTATAGTACTAAACGGTTATTGTGTTTTCATGCTTTTTTCTTTCGTTCGCGCCTCTCTTTTGGTTGCCCATAATTTCAAAGTTCATCATTTGATCACATAGTATATCCCACTCCAATGATCGTTCAGTTATGTGAAAAGAGAAAAGAGAGAAAAAGGAAACGACTAATGTCGCGCGCTTTTAATTAATAATTGACTATAATGTTTATTTTATACAATTCTCAATTCACCCGTTTCTCGATCGTCTTCGTTTACTTTAATTCATACATACAATACAAAAACTACGTGAAACGCAAAAACAGCAAAATTAATGCAACTTGTTACGGATAATAAAAGAAGAGAGAGAGAAGAATATACGAAAAACATTCCTGCGACAACTAACGTGTATCCGATAAATTATGGACAACCTTAAATTCAATAAATGTAATAATTAATAATAATAATCAATAATAATAATTGAATGTTATCACTTCGTACATAGTATGCGATATAAAAAACAAAACAAACTGTGCCTATTAACGGAGGAAAGAGGGAACGAGGAAGAAACATGAGGCTGACCATTGCTAGAAACGCCAAGAGGAGGCTGTTTGGCTAGGAAAGAGCGGAGTGAGAGGGGGGGGATTAAGGAGAGGAAAGTTCTTATTTGCGGACAAAAATGTACAAAAATACAGAGCACAGATTGCGTAGCGTTAATAATGATAATAATAATAATAATAATAATAATAATAATAATAATAACCGTACATGTTTTAGAGAAAGAGATCATTAAAAAAAAGAACACTAACTAGAATAATGTCTCCTTTTCGGAAGAGTTTGACGCGCGCTAAGAATTAAAAAAAAAAAGATCACTATGTCTTGGTAAACCAACAGAATGTCTAATTTCCTCTGTGATCGCGCCGACGTGTTGTGTGGCGGCTGCTGCTGCTACTACAAGACGAACATATATGTCTGTCCGTCCGTTTGACATGTTTCTTGTTCTTTTCGCTGACAAAGGAACAAAATGTTTTAATTCGTCTGGCCGACGGTCTATCACAACTTTCTTCGTATATTTATCGTTTCTTTGTATTTTCTTCCTTTTTGTGACAATCGTAGCGAGTCGCGCAGAGCTCCTTTTCTTCCTTCGCCTATTTGGTCCTCTCTCTCTCTCTCTCTCTCTCTCTCTCTCTTTCTCTCCCTTCTGCTCTTTTCTTCTCTCTTTTTTCAGTTGCACTCCGTCCCGCGGGGCCGTGCGCTTCCAGTGGATCGTTGATGCGACGGTAATGAAAAAAAAAAGTAAATCCATGTTGTGGCGAATCTCCGATAATACATACCAAAATGTATCACCGAAAAGGCTTTTAATAGCGTCGGCGATATTGGTACTGAAGAAAACGTCGTACATTTCGTTTCCGCGGCGATGTCGATCGTGAAAATGTCAACGATACACGCTTATGATCGAAAAATACGACTGTATGCGCGCACGCGATTTGTGTTGTATGTGTATTTCGCATATGTGCGCATAATCAAGTAGGTATGTGTGTTGGTATGTATACATGTAAGTTGTATGTATGTAATATGTATATATGTATGTATGCATGCACGCATGTACATTCCTGCTCACTTGAGCGTTCTTTCGTTCCTGCGGGAACTTGACGCAAGTGGAGATTGAAGAAATGAGCGAGTGCCGCGGTCGCGTCACACAGAGTTCTCTTCACTACCGGCGTTTAATCAAACACAAGATAGTCTGACATGGGAACGCTTTTAAAATTCGTCTTCGACCGACCGGACAGACAGACAGATGGGCGGATGGATAGACGACGGACGGACGGATGGACGGACGGACGGATGGATGGATAGTGGATGGATGAATAGGTAAATGGATGAATGGATAGATGGATGGATGGATGGATGGATGGGTGGATTGATGGATGGATGGATGGATGGGTAGATGGATGGATGGATGGATGGATGGATGGATGGGTGGGTGGGTGGGTGGGTGGGTGGATGAATGGATGGATGGATGGATGGCTGACTGGCCCTCTCCTCCTCCTTTTCTTTCCTCCCTTTCCTCCTCCTCCTCCTTCTCATCCGTCTCCTCCTCCTCCTCCTTCACTTTCTCTTCCCGTCGATCTCTGACGTTTCAACCAAGGTTCATTGATAGTTGCTATTTCATCGCGTCGATTCGTCTCAATTGGACCAGAGGGTAGTGTGGCGCACTAGGAAACATTTATTTTAGCACTACTATATTCGTATCTCACTGTACACAAAGAGTCAAGAGGGATGTAAAAGTGGTGGCGGCGATGCAGAGGTCGTGCCCGGGGTCAGCGGTGACTGTTTTCAGCTCTGCTTGACCCGTTTCCTGGGCGGTCCGATCGGCGGGATTTGTTGGGTGGCTAACGCTCGAAAAGCTTCGGCTATTAGATGCGGATGGGAGTGTACCATCGCCTTGAAACCCGTCGTGTCCATCACATCCGTAGCGTGTCTGCAAATAGTTGGTTGAATAAAGATCTGACATAAAAGCGGTAAGATTGCATGATTTTTGCTGGAAGAATGCAATTTTGTCTTGCATTGGAACCATCACAAGCTAATCAAAAAGAGTATACCATCTATAAAATTTCTTTATTGAAGAAAACCGTAATAAAATAAATTGTAATGAATGATGATAAAATAAAACGTAAAATTACTTTGCCAATCATTTGATTAATATGCGTATTTTGCATCTTTCCAACATATATAATCTACCATTGTTATATTTATGTCTTTGATAAAAACAGTTCTAATAACAAATAAAATCACGAAATGAAATAAATAAGATTCGAGATTTTTAGAAAATAAGCAAACCAATTCTTTACTTAAAAATGTTCGCGAAATAATTACGGCCTTTAATGGATTAAACATCAATTTTTATTCTCGTGACGTCACTATGATTTTTTTATGCAAAGTTTTGAAGACATTGGGTTTTCTTCCTCTCTTCATGCTACAAGTTTTGTTTAAATTTACGATCAACTGAATTGAATGGAAGTGCCAAAAAACTTGTAAATACCAGCTTGAGAGTCTCGAACAAACAAAATCATCAACATTTTTGGACCAAGATGATTATTTATAATTATATATTACATAATTATATGTGTTTTATATGACTTTTTTTTTCATTTCAGAAACTTACGTGTTAATAAAGTCTATTGCTTGCGCCTTGAGTTGGTCAGCGCTATGAAGATCAGCCAATATAAGAATATCAGCGGCATTATCAATGGCTAAACTCGTGCAGAGCGCCTCCTCGCACATCACCTTCAGCCTCTCCAGTGCATATTTGTCCGCGGCGGCCAACAAATCGTCCGCCATCTTCTCTAAATTCGCCGCTTTACCGGTATATATAAATCGTAACATTTCCCTCAGGACTTCGTGATCTACATCGGTGATATCTACACGATTCTGTTTCCTCTCTTCCATCTCATGTTCAAACATCGCCGAGAAGACAGGACTTCGTGCTACAAAATCAAACGCAAGGCGAAAGTGTAATGCGACTCGACGGGCGTTGGTAAAATAAGTAAAATAAAATATTGAAATTATCCAATTTCGAAGTGTTAACCATTTTTACGAATAAAATGAACATTTACTCGGTATTTTCTTAGGCATCTAACGAGAACTTTCTGTTCTCCTTTTAATATCCAAACTTCTCTCTCTCTCTCTCTCCCTCTCCCTCTCTCTCTCTCTCTCTCTGAGAATTTAATAGAAAAATGACGAGTCTAACATGTGATCAACTTGATGTAATAAATACAGACGAATCTATAACGTAACACACACACTCACACACATAATTTTATTTTTTTTTCTTATTTTCATATATCTTACCTGCTAGAATTGCTTTGTGCGCCTGAAACTCCCTGCCGCATACAGTGAGCGTGACATCGCTAAATTTTTGGTTCTCGAAAAGTTGCCCGAGATCGTCGGGCAACCGGCATTCCGGCACCTTGAACTGTATCGTGTTACTTTGTCCGGAAATATTGACACTATCCGCTACTACGCTGACCTGCGGGCAAACGCAGTGAGAACACCGGCCGTTAAAGAAATTAATGCACACTGGCCGCCGTGAGAGGTGTTATAAGTGGGAGTACAATTAACATACAAACGTATATACCTCACAGAATATCGTGAGTTTGTCGTCCGGCAGAAGTCCGTTGGCCTCGTCCAGAAGAAAGTCTCTCCTGATGAACTTCTTGAAGCCCCAATCTTTACCCTGAACGAACCTATAAGCGCGTTGACTCTCTGAAAAAAACGAACGCAAGTGTCTAAATGTTACTCTCTCATTATCATCATCGTGATCCGACGATAATCCGCTCGCAATTTCTCGAGCACTGGTCATTTCACTCAGCGACTTAGAAGTCACATCGACATACATCGTTTTTCTCATACGCAAAACCAGCGAGGATCCGTGTCACGTGTGTAAATTCTTCACGAACATCTTTAAAACATTCTATATTGCATCCACACATGATTTAGTATCGCGCATGTAAAAAATGACATTAATATTTAATGCTATTCGCCTAAATGATAACAAAAATGAAGGATGAAGAAACACCGTGATTTCGACGAAAGAGAGAAAAATATCAATAGACGTTATAATGCATCATGGATATCGACGTCGTTTATGTATGTATGGATATTATATGTTTATGGAGCAGGGACGATCGTCATGTAGGATAAATACTGATAAGAGTTGCGTTGAAAAGAGGGAGAGAAAAAAAGAATAATGTAAATAGTTGTCAGTGCTTTGAGAATATTTCGATGCAATTGCAAGTTAATTTTTGATTACGTCCCAAAAATATTACACTAGATTCTAGTACATTTTAGCAGGTACAACAAAAAAAGATTGAAAAAAAAAGAGATAGAGATAGATGATTTAAGTATTATATTAAAGCATAACATTAACATTAAATCTGCTGCTCTGTTTCATAATATGTAGCAGATTCGAGAATCTCTCTGCCAATTTCACGTGTATTTTTAGACTATTAAATGCAATTGTGAAAATACAGCGAATGTCACTCGAAAATTTCTCAACACAGGAAATATAGACACGAATTGACACAGCACAAGCTGTCAACGTGAAAAAATTGTTTTATTGTTTCCGTCATATGTTGGACAATGATTCCATTTATTTTCGCGTGTGCTCTCACTGTGCGAGAGCATATGCAATTTTGTACGAAATATTTGAATTTCAGCTGTGGCTGAATGAGATTGAACAAAAATTTGGTGACGCGAAATGACTGAAAATATTCATCTGAACATTCAGTTGTATTAAAATTTATCCAAGCTAACTGAGAGCGATTGACCAGTTAGAAACTTCCTGTAGAAATTCGTACGTTCCCGTAAGCGAGTTTTCATTTGATCCTCAGGCAACAGAAAGTTCAGTTACTCTCTGAGATAGAGTTGTTTTTTCTCGTATGTTTTCTCGGCCAGCACACACACAAAATATACGTAAAATTTGCAGAAAGAGATCAATATCCAGCTGGCAAAGTTTCGAGATATTAAAATTTTAAGCGACGCTGTATCGTAAACTTACCCATTGCTTTGGTTTCTTCTCTTTTGGCATTAAGAATAGAAAATTTGAACTTTGCTCTGACTTCAGATTTGTTGCATGATACAAGAAGGAGATATAGTGATAAGTAGTCTTTGCTCTCTTCGTCCAAGCCCTTAGGATTCACTCTCAGGCACCTGGAAATAATTATTATCAATTTAAGATCAATTTAGCTATCGTCGCTGTCTACGCTTGTTTGCCCCTCATGTCTAAGTTCTCGATCGTGTTCACTAAACAAAATCTCGTGGATTTATTCATCTTTTCGTTTTGAGAATCGACCGGCCACTTGCGGAGTGCTTCGGACACGCTTTGCAACGAGCGCGTTTTCACGGCGACGCGCAAAATGGTGAGAAGTGAGAAAAGAACGAAATCGCGTGGCGCGTACTTGAGAAACAATGGCTCATTATGTTCCAGTAAACGCTCGCATTTTTAATACGGTGAACGTAATTGTCCACATTTCTACGATTTCTAAGACGCTCTTTAAGACTCCCGTCGCCTTGTTCCACGTGGAGTATATTAGATACACTGACTCAGCGAAACCAACCGATTGTATTCACATAGACGGACGGTCAAGGAGGAAGAGACAGAAATGCACGAAGCAAAGTGTGCAAGGTAAAAGTATCAATGCCGGGACACGTATTTCACACACTCCGGATATTCTTATTCTTGTTATTTTTATCTTTAAATATTATTTTTATGATTTTTATGATTTTATCTTTAAATTTTATCTTTATGATTACTTTTTAACTTTCAATATCAAATATATGTTGTATATTCAATATATTCGTATCTATACGTGTACGCGTTTAAATATAAAGGAAAAAAATATATGTATGTACGTACATACGTACACACACACATACATATATATATGTATGTATGTATATACATATATGTATATATACTCACACATACATAAGAAGTTCTAAAAATTGTAGCCCTTCATAAAAAAGAACAATTCTTTCTATTTAAATAAAAGAACTATATTTGATTAAACACATGTTATTATATAATACCTGACGAATGCTTACTTTTTTTACGTATTTTTTTTCTTTCAATATATAAACGTAACAAATAATTGATGTAAACATACATTATAGGTGCACGCGATACACTCCCGCTAATTATTCGCGTGATTCGACATAAAGTAATTTGCGGTTGATGCGCGCAATTTATCCCTCTCCCTTTCTCTATCTCTTTCTCTCTCTCTCCCCCCCCCCCCTCTCTCTCTCTCTCTCTCTCTCTCTCTCTCTCTCTCTCTCTCTCTCTCGCTTCAGTTCGTATGTAATAAAAAAAATCTTAAACAATCGTTTTTTCTTTTCCTCCGCGGACGGTCTTGCAACGTGTTCGTGAACGAATCTGCTTCTCTTTATGCGTGCGCATGAGAAAGAAAGAGAGGCAATGTGAAAAAAAAAAAAGAAAAGAAAGGATCGTCATATCGGCGACCCGAAATCTTACCATTTTAACTTGTCGTTGGCACCTGCTGAGAACGTGGACGACTTAAGCACCTCTCCCATCTCCTCACGGCAAAAGCTGAAGTTATTTATCGTCCACATGTAGCTGAACTTAACCACCTTCACCTGTGCACATAAGACCTTCAAATGCGACACCACGTCAGAGTCTATTCCGAGTGGAAGCTACTAAGCTTACAATCTAACTACATACACGTTAAAAAGGCTACACGAACGCCACTAACGCACAAACGTCGGTCTCACTTCACGAACGTCGTGTGTAAACGCGTGGGCGTCGTACTTTAATTACTCAGGATGACGAGAGAAAGGGGTTATCGATTTATGCAAGAAAAAAAGGAATCCACCCTGAATACGGACGTACGGGCGGATTGTCAGTCGCATCGTAGTCGCAAAAATCGGAAAATGACAATGGCGCTCGGTCGCGTGTTTTTTTCGTCTATTTCTGCGTAATGCATGTGCAATGAAGAAGAGAGAAACTGGTTGAATTAACGTCATTAATGTCGCAGCTAACGGCGTTTTGGTTACAGAGAACGGAATTTTTGGTTCTCAAGTACCAAAGAGAATTATTGTCCGCTGCAAGAGTTCTCCAATCAGCGAATAAATTCTTCCATTGAAGTAGGCAGAGATGCGTTCCGTAATTCGCAGGGGAAAAAACAAAACAACCTTCTTGTCTACGATTGTACACCTGTATACGACTAAACGTCGAATTCATAGAAACCTCGCAGACGTGCGACGACACGGCGACGACTGAAGTTCCCTCCCGACCACGCTTGTAACCGACCTTGGAGAAGCGTGAGAGCAAAGTACAGCACGTGGTAACACGCACACGCGTGAGACACGCACAATGTAAGAAAAGGTAGAGTAGGAGGAGAAACATCCAGGGTCGAGAATCAAACCTCGGCCCGCGCTTACGCAATTCCCTTTAAAGAACTGTGCGCGCGCGCTTACTGCCGGTCGAGAGCTTTAACGGTGTGTGCAGAAGTGTAACTTTTGTGTCACTTTGAAGGACGCGACGACGACGACGACGACGACGACGACGACGACGGAGGCGGTTTTTATTTCCGTCCTCCGCATGTCTTAACGGTTTCGAAGACGCATGACACCGTTTTTCGGTAGCGATGGCGGCGAGTTCGGCATTAATATGTATTAAGATCGCGGCAGACGGCACCGATCGAATCGGGTTTTTATCTTTGTCACACGATCGCCGTGCGGAAAGACATATAGTTGAGCGGGGAAGATGAGGGATCCTCGAAGCTGCGAGGAGGATCCGGCGGCCGCGACTACGATGATTTTCTTCTGCTTCTGCTTCTTCTTTTTTTTTCTTCTTCGTCGTCATCGTCACTTCTATAACGGCTCGAGGATTGTGCGCACTCGCGATAAAATTCTCGCGAATTTAAACCGATCTAATCTAAACGAATGATAAAAACGGAGATAGTGGAGGAAGAGAGGCAAGGTCGAGCACCCGGAGGAGTCAACGATCTCTGACATCAGCATCGTCGTTGTATGTGTACGACCTTGGCGAACGAACGTGCGTGTGTGCGTGCGCGCGCGCGTATATGTGCGTTTGCGAGTGTAGCCCGCGGCCAAATCTATTTGTTTAATATGCTCGCTCACGATGCTGCGGAGCGCCACGCACCACGTGAGAACACCTCGGAGTTATCGGTCACCTGCGACACTCCCGTGTGCGAGAGCACTCTGCGATCTATGAGAACAGCGCAGAGCGCATACGGAGGAACAAGCTTGGTCGAATCGACACGACGATGACGTGGACTAAAAGACCAGAGGAGACAGAATTTCTGATTCCTGACACGGAGATAGCATTATATCTTTTTTTATATAAATCCCTTTTCCAATTTTGTTTTCTAATAGTGCAGGGGTAGGCTGTGTAGGGATAGATAATGCAGTTAGAGAATTTTCCATCCGGCCTGATTCAATCTATCTGCGCGTAACGGGCGTGTCCTGAATTGTTATCACCACATATAAGACCGCGTTTCCTGACACACATATATGCGCGCGCGCACGCGCGAGTGTGTTATAATTATCACATTAGATGAATCTCGAACGTGTCTTCTTATAGCATCGTTAAGATTTACTTTTCGAGGGCAGGAGAGGGAGGGCATCTGTTTACATACCCAAAGCTATTTGGAGAATTTCCGTGAATTTTTCTCCGCCCGAGAATCTCTTTTGCGAAAAGAAGAGGACAGGAAGACTCTTGCGTGGGCAGAGATGAGACGAATGTATCATCGGAATAATTAATAGGTATCCTTATTAATGAGTGTTCTCATTGAAAACGATGACGAAACGTTCGGATGGCGCGCGCGTACATAACGCCGTCGGGGAAGTCCCCGTCCGTTTGACCGTGCTTCTGACAAGGTCTCGCGAGCTTCTCGAGTATCTGAAGCGAGGATCACACACGCGTTGCTCACAATCGTTGGGGATCGGCCGCAGGTTCGATGATCTTCACCTCGGTGTGACCTTCGCGCATCGGAAGCTTAAGGTCGACATTCGTACATCGAGAAGCAGGAAGGAGGCGGCTGTCTCATTTCTTCGTCCGGGAAAGAGTAAGAGCGGGAGGAAGGAAGGGAGGAAGAGAGAGAGGGATGGAGGGAGGGAGGAAGGGGGGGAGAGAGAGAGAGAGAGAGAGAGTTCAACGCACTGTACACCACGCGCTCGCACTCCACCGTGACGATGGCGATAGCGGCCGGTTAGCTTCTTCTTCTTCTTCTCTTCTTATGGCTTACGCGCGTGATTCGCTCTCGCTCAGACGAGCGCAGGTAACAGTAACAAAAAGCGGGATAGCTGAATGCGAGACGCTTCGCAATAGCCGTTCGCTGATTCGATGATCTAAACTCTCTCCCTCTCTCCCTCTCTCTCTCTCTCTCTCTCTCTCTCTCTCTCTCTCTCTCTCTCTCTCCCCTCCCTCTCTCTATCCCAAACTTCTTCTCAAGACCACGCAAGAAGACAAAGATCTAATACGTGAAGGTGTGCTCAGACATCTCGTGGATATTCCTCCGACTGACGATCACTGCTAAAGTTGATTTTTTGACATAGTTGGCACGCGGTCGAGAAGCTATATTTTCTCTGTCGCGCGAACGAGATTGAGAGTCGAAACCTCGTCGTTAGTTATGGAATATTGTTACATTAACAGATTCAGTGAGGTAAAATTATGCTTTCTGTGTGCTTCTGGTGTGTTGAATCGCTGGGGTAAAATTATTTTTCTTCAAGTTGCAGTTAAAATTTTGTACAGTAATGTTACATTTGTAATGTACGTATATGAAATAATTACAACGATGTGAGATAAATATCGCAATTTAAATAATTACCGGATAAATACAAAGTAGAAGATATAAATTAAAATAATTACAATGTTTTTCAATTCATCAAATCTGTTACGTCAAGATAGGTCGCGTTATACTCCCCATGAAACTAACTTCACTTGAAAGACATTGGCGGGCAAGTATGGTGTTCATGAGTCAATTTGGTGTCTGCGACGTAATCCCTACACGTTGGTAATGTGCCAACAGACCGTGAGACTTCATTTTTCCGTCCATGAAGAAACACAAACAGCTCGTCGCTCGACATACGGACGTGCCCGCGCGCGTCCTTTTCACATGGACGATCGACGAGGCAGGCGGTACAACCGCATGACTTGGAAATGCCGGAAATCGTTTACGTAGAAGACGGGTCGGTGTCGTTTTCGGGATAATATAAATGTTAGATTCGAGTTCTCCCTCGCAATGTCTCAGGTATATACATATTGACCGGCGTACTTCGTACTGGATTCAGAGAATCCAGAGATTATTAAATTCCGGCTCCTCTTGACCGAAGCGGGGCAGAGGCTCTCCTAGGAGTTATTGAGAAATCACTGACGATCGCTCCAGGTATTCTCTCGGAGAAATTTCCGGCAACGTCGCGGAATGAAATTTGCACAGTCTGGAATAATTTTGCGCGACGAGATGGAACGTCTTCTCTTGAGCATCGTGAGCGGAAACGACGCATGCTCCGAAGAGCGAGAGCGAGAGAGAAAGAGAGAGACAGTGGGAGAGGTCAAAGCACTTGGAGCTAACGTACTAGAAGAACCATGGTCAATCTGCAGGTAAGATTATGAAACTACGTATATTTGGAAGGTCCCTCGATCGGAATATTTCCATCTCTTCCTAGATTTCTATCGCGTTTCCCGGCGAAAACAAAATTCTTCGAGTCGAACAATATTCCTGACAGTCATAATATTTGCTTTGCAAGCCGATTCTGTAATCTTTAAAACAGTATCGTTACCGTCGCGTATTTTTCTTACCACATATGTGCATAACGCTACGTAACGCTTGATCTAGTTTCCAGGTGCCGCGCGTTTATTGTGAATTTATTTCAGACGTTTCGTGAACGTTTCGCAGCTCACTTCTTCGGGACGAAGGACAGTTTGAAACTCAGCCTTAAAATATAGTTTTCCTTAAAATATAGCTTCAGGTAGTTTCCTCCTTAAGGTAGTGAATTCAGAATGTTCATAAAATGTCGAGGACAAATTCATGATAAACGCAGTATCAGTCTGGAAATCAGACTAGAAAAGTATTTTTCCACATAGTGACAACCTAAAATATCAGATAGTGTAACGATAATGATAATTCTCATAATAAATTATAAAACAGATTTATTGGACGACGTTACGGAATCGTGTCCGAGATGCGTGCGACAAGGACGGATATATTCAAGTAACTTCTTCAAATTATCTATCTAGCTTCAAACTAGCTGTTAATTGGTCATCACATTTACCAGAGATACATTGCTCAACCAGAGAAGAGAGACGCATTTTTCTTCTCGCTAAACGATCCGCGACTCGTCGCGGAAAGCAGGTCGCCTACGAGGTCGTCCTCGTTCGAATATCGATTCGCGAGCCGAGTTGTTCCGTGACATCCCGCGAGTGTATCGACCAAACTATAAGAGAGCGAGAGAGAGAGAGAGAGAGAGAGAGAGAGAGAGAGAGAGAGAGAGAAAGAGAAAGGAGGGAGAGAGAGAGAGAGAGAGAGAAAGAGAGAGAAAGTGGGAGAGAAAGAGCATCTCGTACACGCTCTTGCCAGCATCATCAGCGCCAATGACGCTGGAGAAGCTACGAAGAGTCTGGACGAAGTACACACGTCCGGAGAGGTCGAAGGGTTCATCGTCGCCAGCCGGGTAGTTTCCGCGTTAACGGCCGGCCGATGCTGACCGCCACCAGGTGGAGCGACGAAAGAGGAGGAAAACGTGGCGGTGGTCGGTCGTCGGTCGACGCCCCTACGAGTCGTTCAACTCGCCAGAGGCGGAGGCGGAGGCAGCGGTGGTGGTGGTGGTGGCGGTGGCGGTGGCGATGGCGGTGGTGGTGGTGGTGGCGGTGGTGGTGGAGGTGGTGCTGGTGGTGATGACGGCGGCGGAGGTGATGGTTGTCGTCAACGATCGACCTTGAATTACCCGTGCCCGTTTACGGGAGTGCCGTGCGCGCTATTCGCGCGCTGGTTCAAGCACACCGGACCAAGTTGGTGGCCAGGACTTCCGGTGGAAGTCGACCTCCTCCTGGATACAGCGCGCGAGCAGCACGCACGTCTTTGCTAGCTAGTTAGCTGAGCTAGCTTGAAGCCCCCGCAGCCGGGGCCGAGGTAAATGATCGCGTGCGGATCGTCGCGCGTGCGAATCGCGGGGTCGAAGATGAACGACCGCGAGTGCGTCCGTGGAAGCGAGAGAGAAACAAAGAGAGAGAGGAAGAGTGGGAGGAGGAGGAGGAGGAGAGAAAGAGAGAGAACGTCTTACGAAAATATTTTTATCGCAAGAGAGCTACGATTAACGTTACACTACTTAGCCAAACGCACCTTGTTTCGTCCTTTCTTTTTTATCCTTCCACGCAGGTTACACGAGGTGTCGTTTGATAGCAAAGTGTGTTTTGTACAGAGTCGAAACGTGCAAATTGGGTCAGTTCGTTACGCGTGTTTTTCCGCAAAGAGGAAAAAGAAAACGCGCAAGAGATTTTGGAGCGTAGGGAGAAATCGAATATCTCGGCCTGCTGCTAATAACGACTGTACCGAACGAACCAAGTGAACGTGGGCGTGTTCGCGGGCGCTCTTGTCGTTCGTTTTATCGGGGTAACCGATAAATCGCGACGACCGCATGTCGCCACAGCGGACTGCAACGGCAGCAGCAACGGCGGCGGCGGCGGCAGCAGCAGCGGTTGTGATGTTGCGAATTGCACGCGGCGCCGCTGACGCGGCGAAATCGGTGTCGTACATTACGAAAGTTAACTAGAGCACAAATTGACTTTCAATTTATAGGCAAGTCCAAATAGTGCAACGAACATGTGTTTCTTCTCCGTGCGTCTATCGATTCGACAGTGTTTTGCGAACACACAGGGAGTATCGTAAACCTTACCTGCCGCGCGTTTACTTACGTAACGAACAACGCGAAAGCGAACGCAATACGAACGTTCGTATTCTGCTGCTGTTGAAATTAGAAACGGACCGTTCGCATCGGGCCTTTCTTGAAATCGTCATAAATCAGAAAAAGAAACACGCAAACGGAAAGAGAGAGAGAGAGAGAGAGAGAGAGAGAGAGAGAGAGAGAGAGAGAAACCGATTTTACATTTCTATTTTATTGAAAGAACATTGTTAAGTTCTCTTTTTATTCGCTGGACCATTTTGAATGGCTAAATTTAGCTTTGTATGATTTCGGATCTCGAGAAAATCACTGTTTCAATAATTTTTAGCAACGAAAGCTAAAGAGAAAAGAAGAAAGAGGAGAAGAAAGTAAAATAAATAAATTCAATAAATTTTATGTAATATCAACATTATATCGATAAAATAAATATTTATCAATAATAAAGATTGGGTTTATAATTTGAAGCATCGATTCTTCAAACTTTCGAGGCATTGTATTCAAGTAACAAAATTTTCAAATATGAATATTCAAACAATGCTAATTGCACAAGATCTTATTGCATCCTTCGAAATAGCTCCATCATTGAAAACTTCGATATTTCGAATCTTCCAACTCTAGTTGGACAGACTTGAAGCATCGAATATATCAAACAGTATAATAGTGGTCACAGAAAAAATAACTCCGTTAGTGCAACTGAATTTTTTGTCACTGGAGACAATAAAAAAACTCGTTTGAAATAGGGATATATTTTTGCAATTATCATAGTAGATATCACAATATCATAATAATTTCATATTTATTCATTTATTTTGTTATTATTGTTGTTTAAACGGCTGGATGTTTCTGACTGCAGTGACACAGATATCATTTCTCACGTGTCATCGAGTTTTTGTCTGTTTCCCATTCAGTTACACAAACTGACATTTTTTCTCATGTAACAAAAATTCTTTGTAAAATCTCGCCCCGAAGATAACGCCCCGGGTCTCTCATAAACACCGCCATGACGATCCTCTCTTGACGCTATTATCGTCTCGATTTCATTATTCGTTATTTCATTTCTCCTGTGCGTTGTATCGCATCTCCTGCATACCTGGCGTATATTGTACATTGTCGCTATCTCTGCGACGGATGACTCGCGTCCCCCGGATAAAACACGATAACATCCTGTTTATTTGCTCTAGAGAACGTTCAGAGTCGTTTCCGAGTACGTCGACACAAGAACGTAATCATGCATTGAGAATGTGTCAGCGCGACCAGATGCCAGTGTGCGTCAACTACGTTACGATCGGGCCATATCCGCGGCACGACGATGCCGAGACGGAAATGATGACGACGACAGGAGGTAGGAAGGGAAGGCGGGAGAGGGCAGCGACCGGCGGCCAAATTTCGGCCGGCCGAGGAATCGAAGGAGGAGAGTTTCCGCGTTGATTTCTCGCACGCGGACGGCGAACGCCGAGCAACCGGAGAGTTCGAGAGACCGGGAGGAGCGCGAGATATCTAGTTGCAGGTCGTTCACATCGCGAGGGGACGAGTAGTAAAAATAGAATGAGAGCGCCAGGAGCGCGTGCTCTCACGCACTGTACGCACCGACGACGACGACGACGACGACGACGACGACGACGATGACGTTACGCGCGATTCTCTATGCAACGACGTCTTGTACGGCGTCGCGAATGACGTCCTCCTACGTTGCGCCTCTCCTCTTCCCACTCTTTCGTCCTTCTCGTCCCGTTGCTCATACGGAATGTATTAGCCCATTAGATTCCGCCTGGCGATTAAGCTTAGGGGCGTGCCGAGTGAGAGTGAGAGCGAGAGAGCGCGCGCACGCGCGCGCGTGCGAAAGAGAGAGAGAGAGAGAAAGAGAGAGGACTCGTTCATTTCTTACCTTCCATATGCTTTGTATATATTTGTGCTATTTTCAATTATGCAAGGTCCTGTTTCTGTATTTTCTTTTCTTATTCGGACCATTCTGAAATTATCTACTTATCTGATAACAATAATACCTTTATAATAACCTTTATAATAACATCTTATGAGTAATTAATAAAAACATATATCTATTAATATTATCTAATATCCTTCAATCTCCAAACTTTTCTTTTTGCATATTACCCATCTGTAAGACTATTATAAGACTGCACTTATTTATTTTGCAACAATAACAATTTTAGGGAAATGAAAAAAAAAGTTGTTGAATTAATAGAATTGGTTGGAATTTTAACACGGCTTATTAAAACAACATATAACGTATCAATTTCAATAATATTGCTAAATAATATAATATTGTTGAATCAAGATTTGCTTCAGTTCTATTGTGATTTAAGCTCTTTTTTTACAGGACGATAATAAAAGAGCATCTATCTAATTCTTTGTCGATATGAATTTCATTATTATATCGCGATAATGAGAAATGTAACGCAGGATCATAATCCCTGAGTAGAAAAAGCCGCGAGAACACGGAAGTGTTTGACACGAAATTTTACATATCTCACGATTCGAGACCGCGATTTCTAATTTTCGCCCAATACGATGTGCCAAGGCTCGTTCACATGCTTTGTTTAAAGGCGGCTGCGGCGAAATATTGAATTTCGGTGAATCGATTGTTCGCTGCTAACAGTGCACGACAGAGGACAATGAACCACGCTGCACCGCAACGCATACAGCAACCAACCAACTAATGAATCAACCAATCAACCAACCAACCAACCAACCAACCAACCAACCAACCAACCAACCAACCAACCAACCAACCAACCAACCAACCAACCAACCAACCAATCAAACAACCAAACAAACAATCAAACAACCAACCAACCAACGAACCAACTGACCAACCAACCAACCAACCAACCGACCAACCAACCAACTAACCAATCAATCAACCAACCGAGCGACCAACCAACCAAAAAATCAGTCAAACAACCAACCAACAAACGTACCTGCGTGTAACACCAATTCTCGGCCACGGGGGTGTTCACTTCCGGCGGTGGTGGGCTCGGGACGCGGCTCACTGCCATACTACTGCTGCTGTGTAAATTCGAGCTGACCCGCGACGTTTGAGGCGCACAGTCGCTCACCGCAAGTCTGTAAAAGGAAAAAGAGAAATTCATTATAGCAATCACCGTGTTAATATTTCGATGAATTTGCCTGAATTCGGTAAGACTGCAACATCCTATACACGACACGACATACGTACACACACATGCGCATGTGTACGCGCGCATGTATAAATTTGACTCGAAAAGTCGTTGATTGTGTGTGCTTGCGTTTACGTCACAAGCAAGTTATTGACCTCTCTTTATATTTTTGGCTGATGGGATATATGAGAGAAGAAACGTTTATTAGACGAGCATAATGCGCAAAAATAGCGAGGTCTATATCTTCCGCGGGATAAAATTGCGAGGCAACGCCGCCAAGTATCCGATCAAAATATCCTGAATCTCGGAAATTAAGAATTTGATTGCTAAATTTAATCGGATGTCCGTTTTGCGCGGAGTGCAAAACGAGAGATTGCTATTTCGAGCGCTATCTCGATGACGTTTCGAAGGTAGAATACGTAGGAGGTCTTCACATTCGCCGCTTCCTTGTACTCTCGTTATCTGATTTGAAGATCAGATATCTCCAACATATTACGTCACATGTATTAGAAATTAGAAATCTATTATATCGCGCGATTCGATACTCATCACACTGTCGTATTTGCCACTTTCACTATACACAAAGCATTCAGTAAGGAAGGACGGTATTATCAATATATGAATATTTAGACGGAGCACGTACTATCAGTTGAAGCAAGAAGACGAGATGCACGACGAGAGGTACATATCGGATCGTTTAATAGCAACGAGTCTAGTTTTCTTTCGCTTCCTCACGAATGGCAAAATTATGTTAATCATGCTATAGATCTTTCACAGTCGCGGCAGGATTTTATTAGAGTTAAGGTCATCGACGGTCGATCAATTCATGCGAATCCAATGAGTGAAATGGTGCGGAAGGTGGGAGGCCGACAGGAAGAGAGGAAGAGGAGAAGAATAAAGAGAGAGAGAGAGAGAGAGAGAGAGAGAGAGAGAGAGAGAGAGAGAGGGAGAGAGAGAGAGAGAGAGAGAGGGAGGGAGAGAGAGAGAGAGAGAGAGAGAGAGTGAAGGAAGGGTACGCAGGACACGCGATGGTGCTCACGTGCGCCAAGTACGGAAAATATGTCGACTGGTGAGTCAACGTACGTTAGTCCCGCGCAGGTTCATCAGACGCCATCGCTGTGATGGCTGCTGACTAACCGGGAAATAGAAATCAAATTGAACTCCTCTCTTCCATACAAGTCCATCTTTCGCACGTGACATACGACGAGATTCGCTCGATTCGTCTGCAACTCCGTCACGCGAGTGTCCTCTTAATCCTTTCACATGTTGGCCGCCACGCTAGATTCACATGTGCGCCCCAGCAGGCCTAAATTCATTGAGACATTGTTATAACAATAATTATGATTATGAGTACGATTATATCAATGATACATTTAAGTATTTTCCATTCGACCAATCTGAATTAAGAAAAATCCTTTGTCTGCGCTCCTTTTATTTAATTACGTTTTGCAGACAATGTATTATAAATTTTCGAAAAGAAATCCGCGATTTAGTTTTCGATGACGAGAGGTTCTCGCAGGTTCTCTATATCGTCTAACTATTCTTCAGATTTGGAGGTAAAAAAAAGCCCGAACCACTCGTTAATCTCAGAACTAATTGCCACACGGAGATTGACATGAGATCCGACGTTAAGAGAGCTTTCGAGTTATCACGGTGACCAGTAAACGGGATCGAAAAGGTGACTGACGAGGAAAGGAATCGCGAAAGCGCAGACGGAGAAAGTGCCGCGATCGAGTGAAAGAGAGCAGCTGTGCGTGTGTGCATCTGCCTGCTTCCTGGATCTTTGAGAGAGAGAGAGAGAGAGAGGGAGAGAGAGAGAGAGAGAGAGAGAGAGAGAGAGAAGAGCGAAGATTTAATTAAAAATTCGATATGGCTGATCGCCAGTTGAATCATGCGCTGCGAATCGGCAGCCCGCTTCAATGCATCATTATTATTACTATTATTGCTATTATTATTATTATTGTTATATCGCTAGTACATTCGTTCATTTCTCTTTTTTCTTCTTCTGGTTTCCTCTTTTATCCTTGTTCCTCCTTGCTCCTCATGTCAACACTAACGCGCGCTTTCGTTTCATGAATTTCTCCGGTTTCTTTCGCGAGAGTACACGCATGCATTCACGCACGTAAGCGAGCGAGCGAGTATGTGTGTATCACATCTTTGCTTTACGGCAACTTTTCAGCGGATCGCGTTTTCTGTTCAACTGTACACATGTATGTACGTATGTTCGTTCGTTCGTTCGTTCGTTCGTTCGTTCGTTCGTTCGTTCGACGCCGTAACTTTCACTTCCACGCCACTTCCAACGCGATATACTCCCACGTTGCTTTTGCGCTAGATACCGCCGCGGGCATCGTTGGATCGAGTCGCACAGAGGGAGAGTCGTTATTTGGGGCAAAGAAGACGGGGCCGGCACAGGAGGAAGAGAGACACACGAACGATTTTATCGTAACGCCGCTCTGTTTTGTGAGAAAGCGAAGGCACGGGACTCGATCGCGCTAGAAAGTATAAGCGGAACAGCGAGATGTTTCCGTCGATGAGAGAATGACATCAGGAACGTAAGTATCGACTGGAATATGCCAAGTATATTTTGGGAGCCCATACGGCGATCGTTCCTCGAATTTTTCTCGCGCGCATGCATAAAATGTGCACGCCGAGGAAAGTGGACACGCTATGTGCGAAAAATCGTCGGATTATATTTGAGTGTTTTATTATTATTATGTCAATATCTATCGAACAATTTAAGAATAACACGAATAAATCTCTCTCAAATATTCGTGTTGTCAATTTAAAGAGTTTAGTGTATTTATAATAAGTTAATATTAAATTGAGATTCGAAGAATTTACAATATTTAATATTTGGAGATTTTTTTAAACATGTCTCCTGGCGATATGCGAGAGTGAAAGGAAAAGAATGTTCATATGTACTAAAAGGGACGACAGATGCGCGCTAGGGAGAAAAAAGTTAAACTACGATTAGATTGCAATGTTAACGTCTCACCGACCGGAAACAGCCTATTAATAACTGCTTCTTTTCCACTAGCGGCGCGTAATACATAAGGTGTTACGTTGATTTGTAAATATTATGACCGAGAGAAGAGACACAAATGCAACGTGGATATTAGTTTGAGAGATCGCTCTTTCTCGAGATATTATTTCCGTATCGAGTCTAAATGGCAGGAGAAAGTGAAACAGGCCTAAATCCAGAAGGGAACAGAGAGAAAACGCGCGCAAGTGCCGTACTTCTATTTGCTTGCGATTTGCTAGATTAAACGAGAAAAATAACGTAACGAGACAGAGTCAGATGGGAATCAGGCGGGACAACTCTAATGGCACCGTCGGTGGGTCGATAGGTCGATATCGAGTCGAGATTGAGATATCCAACCAAGCCGGGGCTCGATTCAGACACGACGGAAACGTGGGTCGGGCCGCGAGAGTTCAGGGGAAAGTAGAACGGAGCGAGCCTCGGACTGGCGGACTGGTGAAAACGAGGAAGTTAGGTGAAAACTTAATCGTCTACAGTACATCAAAATCACGTAATTACAGCGGCTGCGAATCGCTAGTAACCGCGAGTAAACGCACGCGCGCGCACGTAGCGTGCACAGAAGCGATTTCGTGAGTGTAGCTGAATTTTCCGTCGCTTGGGAAGAATAGGGTCCAGATGGAAAACTCATAAAAATAGAAAAACACCCACCCACCCACCCACCTTGTGCAGAAGAGGTTTCTAATCAGTCTATCGTTTTCGATTATCTCAAGCAAGTTTTAAAACAGCTGAGCGGGGGCAGCGATATCGTCACTAAGTTGTCGTCGGTATCAGTTCAGTTTCATACAAACTGAGAATCTTTTTTCTTGTATAGATGTACGAGAAACCGAGAAAAAAGGGAAGAAAAAAAAGACAAAAGAAAGGGAGGTATTGATTGACTAACTAACGTGGCGATAAACCGCAAACTAAGTGCATTTTCGTCAAAGGGAACAGAACTTTTGGTTCTTAAAACTGAATTTGTTAGAAGAATTTGTTAGAAGAATAAAAAATCCTATTTAACAGAAAGAAAATATATTCTCCAGATAAAGTTTCCAGAAAATCTTGAACAAAAGAAAGTAATGTTTCTGTGTCCACCTCGTTTCGGTTTGTAAGAACCAGAAATTCGGTCTCCTTCAACCAGAACGCGTTCGCGGTTCATTTATTATCGTGATTGTTGCATCAAGGTATTGCCGACACTCATTCGGGTGTGAGCACGATATCGAAAGACGCGCGCGCGCTCATTTGTTTCACGACGAACGTTGAAACACGCACAGTCGCGTCGAAGGTAAGGAGAGAAATGTTACGTAAACGATTTCGCAAAAATATCCTCGAGCGACATGTTTTCATTTTCTTTCTTCGCTCGACGATTCTGCATCTCCTCGGCCGATAATATACCATTGAACGAACGTGGACATGTGTCGTCGTCGTGATATCATCGCGATGAGATTGCATTTCTGATGCAAATGCGTTTTTTCACCGCGATGAGTGCAAAAAAATGTAGCACGCTCGACATGTTTCATAATTAGCGATATATATATATGTGTGTGTGTGTGTATGTGTGTGTGTGTGTGTAATATATAAGTTTTTCTTAAATATCTCAAAGAATATTAGGCAAATAAAAAAATGTTTCAGATAAAAGTTGTTCAAATTAATTAGTAGAAAAAGATGATATAATAAAAAATTGGGATTTCCATTTAAGAAAATCGATGATCAATGAATATTTCGAAAGTGGCACCATCTATAAACAAAATGCTATCGCTGTTTTATGTTCCTCTTCAAATCAAACAACTTTTCTGTCTGAATCATTTTTCGATTTAACGTTTTCTGAGATATTTGAATGGAAATTTAAAAATGGGACATCCTGTATATATATATATATATATATATATATATATATATATATATATATATGTAATACATGTAATATGTGA